CCCCTCTTCCCCTGACCACCCTTGTTCACATCCAAAATAAGCTCTCTCTTTCCCCTGCCATTTCTGGCTTGCTCCATTTCTGTGTGGGTCCTAAGCTTCATGGTGAGATCCCGTTCCTTTGCTCTCCCTTCTCCCCCTACTCACATAGGGCTCAGCCTGTAGAGGCAAGGAAAAGAGGTGCTGATCCATCAGTGGGAGAGCCTCACCCTCTCAGCCCTGTCCCTCGTATCTGGGATGGGGCAGAGAGGTGTCACTTCTACGTAATGTGCTGCAGAGGTGAAATGGGTGGAAAGAATTCCCCATGCCAAGGTTCACCTACTTACAAACCTGCCCTGGGTGGGTGAACATGGGTGGAATTGTCCCCTCTGGTGCTTCCACACGAGGATGCTCCGGAGCCGCCGGCTCTGAGGAGTGCTCTTGTGTGGAGTAGTGATTTTGTGGTTGCAGTGGTCTGCAACTTCTGTAGAAGGAAGGCGGTTTCTGGGAGAGAGGCAATATTTGTCTGCCCAAGGGGCATTGTCAGGGCGGTAGAGGGATAGACCAGCTTCTGACCTTAATTAGGGCTTCTGTGCCCAGAGCTTGTCTTTTCCCCGCCTCCAGCGCCTAGGTTGGTGTAATAAAATCTTTGCTGCCCTCCCCACAAGCCTTGCCTCGCAGCTGGCGGAATTCAAAGCTGTGGGCCATGGTGAATTCACGCCAGTTGCAGCTCGGTGTCCGTGCAGACAGTCTGAGGGGGATTCCAGGTGCTGTTAGCACCACCCTTTGCACACCTCTTTCTTTTTCTTTCCTTGGTTAAAGAGCTTAGTGGACTCTTTGGGGATGCGGTTGCATTCACAGCTGAAGCTAGGGACAGGGAGAAAGAGACTTCCCCGATCCATTCACCAAGCTAAGGCTTCCTATAACTTGTTGGACTTGTGTGCGTGTCTGTATTAATACCTGCCTGTATTTTTCGTGTCTTTATTTTTTTTTTTTGCATCTTTCCTGTGCCTGGCACACCCAGGGATCCCTTATTTTAGCATAGCCTATCCATTTGACTGCAGCTTCAAAGATGAGCAGTTTGTAGGTATAGGGAAAAGCTCTTTCTTAGGGAAATAGCGAGGAGATTCTTCTCTTTTTTCCCCCCCTTCTCAACAAGGATTATTCTGCGGCTGCGAGATAAGAGGAGCTTATTTGTGGGGTGGATGCAAACTGGCCAGTCACTTTAGGTTGTTAAGTTACTGTTTGGTGTGTATGTGGTGATGTGTTTTGTTTCGTGGTATTGAGGTTCTGAAAAAAAAAATTGAAGCGTTTAAGTGGGAGATAAAAGGGAACTTTAATAGGAAACTCTTGATGTGTTTTGGCCAAGATGTGTGTTCGCTTGGCAGAATTCTTTTCCCCAGTGTCTCTTGTATGGTGTTCTTTGGGGGCAGGAATTGTTTAATCGAAGGGTTTTTGCCTTTCTCCAGAGTGACAAGCAAGGGGACTGTCTGTGAAGAGCAAAACAGTGGGTCGTTGTAGGGGTACTCCGTGAGGACCTTCTTCCTGTAGTGAGGAGATGCGGGGACTTGTTGCGGCAGAGGAACTCGTGCGGTAGATCCTCTTTGTGGAGGAGGAAAGGAGTATGATCCGGCTTGCAGACACAGCTCGACTGCTTGTGTGACAAATCTCTCCCTGGGTGGGTCACCAGGTGGGAACCAAACCCTGAACCTCTGGATCCGAAATGAGGATCCCGTGCTGTTTTGAGTTAGGAGTTTGCTAACTTGAACGCAGCAGCAGCCTCAAGTTCCCTCAGGTGGACAAGCCACTTGAGGCTGACTAACCTACCTTCGTATTCACGTGGCTTACACTCCTCCTTCTGAATTTTTGCCCTTACTCCTTAACGGAAATGGGAAGGAAAATCTATCCATGCCCTTTAAAAAGGGTGTGGGATTGAGGGAGGAGTTTATTTGAAAGTATCCCCTTCCCTTCCCCGTAACCCCTAGGGAAAAAAAAAAAAAAACAGGGAAGTATTCTCTGTGTCTGTGCCATGTTTGTTCTCTTGTTGTCGTGTTTTTAGAGGAGATTTTATGATGGAGTGGAAAAAGTGAAATGATTAGTTTTGCATAAAAAAAGAAAAGCTTAAAAAAAATTTCTACAGGGAGAGAGCGAGAGAGAGAGAGAGTTTAAAAATTAATAATAAATGCAGTGATTGCACAAACTGTAGTGGTATTAGATGGTCCTTAGAGAAAAGAGTATTTTGTAGTATCGAAGCATGTGTGTCTGGGATGGTGTTTGACTTGCTTGAACTGGAGGGAAAGGCATTCTGGGACTAAGCAGCGATCTCTGAGCTGAAAAGGCAAGTTGCATGTTGGAGGAACCCTGTCTACAAACCCTTCCCGTCCTTGCCTCCCAAGTGTTGGAGTGAGTTCCCTTCCCTTCCATACCTCTCCTGTGAGCTAAGGTGGAGTCTCCAAGTGGTTTTCTGGCCGAGTGGCCCTCAGAAACGGCCGGTCGCGTTCTGCCGGAACGTGGATCGGGCCACCAACATGGAAACAGTTGACTTACTTTGCATGCACAGCAAGCTGCTAAGATTTGGGGTTGGCATGTTCCTTTCCTGCCAAGTCACTGTCTCTTCTCTTTTTCCCTCCCCCATATCCAAGCAGGATTAAACACGGTGGGCTTATCTCCCGGGAAGCAGATACGCCTCCCCTCTGTAGGGTCTCTTAGCTTCTTCCAGCGTCAGGTGGGAAATGGCATTTTTCCATATAGGATTCACCACATCAGGACAGAGAACCGAGTCCATCTGCAT